GAAATATTGACTTGGATGTTTATAATGTGCCTTTTATAACTGTGAGCATTATATATTTATACAAAGAAAAACGAGGGGGCAGCTCTATAGTGGAAAGGCATATGACACTCTTAAAACTATAATATTAGTATAAGAGTAGAACAATATAACAAATATAGTATTTACGAATAAACTGTTATACATACTACATATTTGAGTCTAATAATAATTGCATATATCAAACTACTAATTATTAAAATGATTGATTGAAAATTAGAGCAAGCAGATAATACTTTTAAAATAATTTAATGAATCACTTATTTCTAATCTCTATATTTTGATCTTTCCGCCTCAACAGCTACGTTGAGTGGTCGCTTCATAATCCACACGATGGCGAATATAATTGGGAGGGCATAGCCGATTTGGTTAAATTTCTGGAAATAGCTCAAGAAGAGGATTTTTATATAGTGCTGCGTCCCGGTCCATATATCTGTGCTGAGCGCGATAACGTAAGTAAAGTAAATTTGATTAAATGAATTACATTGAATAATTTTGATCTTAACACACAACTCAGGGCGGTCTACCCCACTGGCTGTTTACGAAATATCCGGACATCAAAGTGCGCACAAATGATCCCAGATATATAGCCGAGGTCAGCAAATGGTATGCAGAGCTAATGCCACGCCTGAAGCATTTGCTTATCGGCAACGGTGGCAAGATCATAATGGTGCAAGTCGAGAACGAATATGCGGCATACTATGCCTGCGATCACGATTATCTGAATTGGTTGCGCGACGAGACCGATAAATATGTGGAAAATAAAGCGCTGCTGTTCACTGTGGACATTCCAAATGAACGGATGCACTGCGGCAAGATTGACAACGTATTTGCCACCACGGACTTTGGCATCGATCGCAGTGAGTAGAATAGATTTGAGATGTATGAGAGCACTTTGAAAAGTAGCCGATCTTAAAGTTAAGCTGAAGACAGTTAAATATAGAAATTAAAATTTAAAAAAGGCTCAGTTCCTATAATTAAATACCCAATACAATATTTTCGAAATTAAGGATTTTGCCACTTTTAACTGTCAGTATCCTTAAGACAAATTTGATAGAATTCATACTCTCTTACACTCTTATACTTTCCTTCACTCTACACTCTCTTATACTCCACTACTCTCTTATACTCTACTTCACTCTACACTCTCTTATAGTCTACTTCACTACACTCTCTTATAGTCTACTTCACTACACTCTCTTATAGTCCACTTCACTCTATACTCTCTTATACTCCACTACTCTCTACTCTACTCGACTTACTCCCTCTTACACTCTACCATTTTCTTATGCTCTATTCGAATTTACACTCTCTTATACGCTACTATTCCCTGCACTATATTCTCTCTTACACTCCACCAATCGCTTATACTCTACTCCATTTAACACTCTCTTATACTCTTCTGCGCTCTACACTCTCTAATACTCTACTACACTCTACTCCACTCGACTTACTCCCTCTTACACTCTACCATTTTCTTATGCTCTACTCGACTTTACACTCTCTTATACTCCACTACTCTCTTATACTCTACTTCACTCTACACACTCTCTTATACTCCACTACTCTCTTATACTCTACTGCGCTCTACACTCTCTTATACTCTACTACACTCTACTCCACTCGACTTACTCCCTCTTACACTCCACCATTTTCTTATGCTCTACTCGACTTTACACTCTCTTATACTCTACTACTCTCTACACTTGTCTATACTCTCTCTTACACTCCACCAATCGCTTATACTCTACTCCATTTAACACTCTCTTATACTCTACTACGCTCTAAACTCTCTTACGCAGTCCATGAGATTGATCAAATCTGGAAATATCTGCGCAGCGTACAGCCTACTGGACCATTGGTCAACTCGGAGTTCTACCCAGGCTGGCTCACCCACTGGCAGGAGATGAATCAGCGACGCGATCCACAGGAAGTGGCCAGCGCTTTAAAGTACCTTTAAAAAATAAAAATAAATAAAAAACATATTATATTAGAGTTTCTATCGGAATAATTATATTAATAATCAACTTCTCCCTTTCAGGACCATACTCAGCTACAATGCCAGCGTCAATCTCTACATGTTCTTTGGCGGCACAAATTTCGGTTTTACAGCCGGCGCCAATTACGATCTGGATGGCAGCATTGGCTATACGGCGGACATCACCAGCTATGACTACGATGCGGTTATGGATGAGGCGGGTGGAGTTACCAAAAAGTATGAGCTAGTCAAGCAAGTGATAGGCGAGGTACTGGAGCTGCCCAGCATTGTGCTAAATCCCGCCAAGCGTTTGGCATATGGCAAAGTGGAGCTGACGCCCACAATGGAGCTGCTGTCGGCGGAGGGACGCGCTGCCCTGGCCAAGGGCGCGCCAGTCAAGTCCGCGAAGCCCAAATCCTTTGAGGAAATGGATCAGTATTCGGGCCTTCTGCTGTACGAGACACCGCTGCCCAGCTTGGATCTGGATCCAACGCTGCTGCAGGTGGAAGATTTACGTGATCGAGCGCACGTCTTTGTCGACCAACAGCTGGTGGGCACATTGTCCCGGGAGGCGCGCATCTATGCGCTGCCCCTGAGCAAGGGCTGGGGCAGCACGCTGCAGCTTCTCGTCGAGAATCAGGGGCGCATTAATTATGATCGCGCCAACGACACCAAAGGCATCTTTGGCAAGGTGACGCTCCAGCTGCACAATGGCGGCGCCTTACCGCTGGAGGACTGGACAACGACGGCCTATCCACTGGAGGCCATCACCATTGAGAACTGGCGCCAGAAGTTGCCAGAAAATGCGGCCCTCGACTCGTCGATAGCCAAGCAGCGACTGCTACGCTCCGGACCCATACTCTATACGGGCAGCTTTCAGGTGACCGAGGTGGGCGACACCTATCTGAACCCGGCTGGCTGGGGCAAGGGCGTGGCCTATGTGAATGGCTTCAATTTGGGACGCTATTGGCCTCTGGGCGGACCCCAGATAACGCTCTATGTGCCCAACGAGCTGCTCAAAGTCGGATCCAATTCCCTGGTGCTGATCGAGTATCAACGCTGCAATAAGACCACAAATGGGCCAGAGCTGCCGGCGGTGCAATTCGATGCAGTTGCTCAGCTGGATGGAGAGTCCAGCGAGGCACAGAAGTAGACAGAACATTTTTTTACTTTTGTTAATTTTTATTTTTATATTATTTTTATAATTTACAAGCGTTTTCTTTTTTTTGTTTATTAGAAGCAGTTATTGATTTTGCTGTCGCAACAACAACCTTGACAAGCATTTCTTTATTTAATATTTGCTAATCTTAGCTGTTAATTTTCTTATATAATAAACATTGCTTAATTAATTCAAAATTGTTTGCATTTTACTGACTGACATTTTATTATAAACTATTATAATTTTAGCTCATTTTCAATCGACTCTTTTGTTATTCAGGAATTTCTTTTTATTTTCCATGTTTGCTCAAATTAATTTAATTTTGTATTTTTTATTATTTTTTATTTTTTTATTTTTTTTTTTAATTTAGATTTTATTTTTATTTCAAGTTTTGCTTACACTTAGCTTTCGTTTTTTTTTTCTAAATTTTTTGTTCATTGGCAAATGGAGATTCTGATTTATTGTTAAATTTGTATTTTTTATTCATATTTATTTTGTATTTCTTAGTAAAAATATTTTATTTTGTGCATCGAGACAATATTTTCTGCCTTTTGTTAATAGCATTTTAAAATTATTTGTAGAGTATTAAGTACATTTAGCTTTCGAGATTCTCAAAAATATATTTGAAAAATTAGAAAAATAAGTCAGTTGTATTTAATGTAAATTCTTCGAAATACAATTAATATTTTCACTTGTAATATCAAAATATTATATTATAAATTTGTTTGTTTCTTATTGTTTCTTTAGGGCAGTATTGTAGTAGGGGAAATATAAGAGGTTAACAGACTCGAAATATTTTCAAACATAATAAAAATCTCAGGTATCAAACAAAATACAATTCTTAGTTTTAGTTAAGTGAATTCACAATGATGTATGCTAACAGATTCGAAGTATTTTAAACATAATAAAACTCTCAGTTGTCATGCAGAATACAATTCTTGGTTAAAATTAAGAGGACTTGCATAGTGTGTTACAACCCATGGGTTAAATAAATATATACTGTATACCTATATGTACGTATGTGACAACTTGTTAACAATATTATTTCATTGTGCAAAACTTGTTTCGACTAATTCGACAGCAGTCTTATTTAAAAACAAAAGAACGAACTTATAACGAACACAAGACAGGTGATTTTTCACAAATATTTGTATATATCTATTATGCAATACTAAATGTTAGTTGCAAATTAGGAAAAACTTGCAATGAATTATGTAAAAATATATATGTTATTCATTATTATATATTATATTACATACATCAGCATGCGGCGCGTACAATTTAAGCTCGTCCAAAATCTAATCGGCAAACTACTTGGCTTTTTTTTTTTATTTAATTTTTTTTTTTTAAGTGCCCCCACATAAAATTTGTTTGATTATATTTTCTGTTCTCTAGTGTTATAAAAAATATTGCAATATATATATATATTGTTTCTGTAGATTTTATAGGGATAGATTTTTGCTGTTTACATTTGAAATGAAATTTCGTGTTCAGTAAATACCCTTGCAGTAGAGTTTTGGTTGGGAATGTTGCATTATTATTCTTTAATTTGCTAACAGATACCCTATAAATTATTATACACTCTGCTAGGGTATATTCGCTTCGGATTGCCGAAGTTTTGCATGCTGGAAAATTGGATTTGCATTTTGAAATATATTTGATTACTTTTTCATTTCATTTCTATACATTTACTAAAAATATATCACAGCTGCATTTCGAGTTAATTTACTTGTTCTCTTCTTCATTTATATGTATATATATGTATATATAATATATTCTCGTTTATCGTTTTTTCTCTTTTTGTGTAAAAATGTATAGAAAATTGTGTTTTGCGCTTTCTTATTAGGTTTTCTTTAGGGTAAAAAAGAAGCTTACGTAAAACAGCAAAAAATTTGGCAACCTAGTTAATATTTAGTCAATGTCCATGAAGACGGAATGCGTTTGCGTTTAGTAGATATATATACATACATACATCGACATACATATATATATATAGTTAGGTATTTATAGTATAGGTAACTAACCGAAGCGTTGATTTAGATGATGCATAGTTGTAGTTATAGTTGTTGTAGTTCTTGTAGTTAAAGTTCAATTGCGGCTAATTGCTGTTGCTGTTTTCTGTTTGCTGTCTGTGATCGTCGCTTACCTGTCTAAATTGCTGTGGGGGCAGCGTGCGCCATTTGTCAGTGCCATTTCGATTTTTGTGTATAGATATCAGCGCGTAAATTTTGCGCGAAACAAATGCCCAGAATCTGTAAGGTATAGAAAACATTATAAGCAAATTCATTCACTAATAAAAATCTCTGTTAAATTAAAAAAATAAATAACAAACTAAACACCTGAAAGAACATAACACCAATAGCAACCGTGGAAATAATAATTAAATTATGCTCAATCCATTCTTCGCCAGCCTGAACGCAGCCTTTCTCATAAATAATCTTTGAAAGCTCCATGCCCGGCGGCGTACTCTGCAAATAATAAAATGGGCGAAAATTAAATAAATATGAATTAAATAATATTTTTTAAAATATGGTAAATAAATAATATAATAAAATGCATGAAGAGATGAACTTGACTAAAACGAATATGGGTTTACAAGCCTCTTGATGAGTGCCATAAACATACAAATAAAACATGATGCTCTACAAATAAACAATTTAAGATATAAATATATATACATATATCTCAATATATATGGGTAACTCTTGCTCAGCACCTGCATGATGAGCAGGCCAACTACTGTGGCAGCCACACCAATTAAATGCGACTCCAGCCAATCCTCTCCAGCGCGCAAGCAACCGCGCTCATGTATATTTCTATCCACTGGCTGCATGCGTGCATTTCAAATGAATTAAGTCTGCAAATCTGTAGTTAAACTATATTGTTTTTGCCTCTCAACTTACGTAGCCCTCCTTGCGCACATCGTAGCCGCATTGTTTGTTCTTGATCACCTCCTGCGGTCGCCGGCGACAGCAGGAGAAGGGCACACCACATGCCTCGCGGCTGCCAATCGCAATTGAGGAGCAATTGAAATAGTTATTGCTATCCCAGTCCTTTGGCCCGTCGATGCCGCAACATTGCAGCCAATCCTCCTGTATCCAATCAATCAGATTCTGTTGATCCGGATCCTCGCGATAATGCTTGATAAATGCTCGCAGGCCTTCAGTAGCTTGATCCTTGATCTAAAAATAAAAAGATATTTATTTATCACACGATGACACATTTCAATTGACATAAAAACCTGCCTACAAATTTGCATAAACGCATAAAGACCAACACCTCTCAAAATTATCTTGGATTTACTGTGGACTCTAAGCAACAGTTGCTCCTTACATCATAAAGAAAATTTTAAGGCGTTTTAAAAAATAGGTTTAAGCTTATAATCTGTCTGAGATAAAACAATAAAAATATTAGCTAACAATACCAATTCCTTAAAAGGATGATTTGAGCTCAACGTTTATATCATAAATATAAATAAAAAACCTATAAATAAAATACGCTTTGAATTAAATAAGCAAAAGCTCGATTTATAATCAGCTAAGCAACACATTAAGCGCATGCTTTGTTTACATTCAGTAGCCTCAATTCAGCTTTCCCCACTAATTAGTATGCAGCATACCACGCGCAAATGTTAACAACTTACCCAACCTTTGTCCTTGAGCACAAACGCGAGCCCGCAAAAACCAATCTCACTTAACAACAGAACGCTCAGAAATATGGCATACTGTAAATAAATAATGTATAATGCGTATACATATATAGTATATATTGGGCAGGCAGTATTTTGTATAACTTACGGCGCTCAGCAGACACGTATTTTCTCGCAGTGCACCCACACTGCCCATTAGACCCAACATAAAGGTAATGGTGCCCAGTATGATGAGAACAAAGGCGGGATCTAAGGCAATAAATGTTAGCTTGCTAATATTGCGAAACATATCCTTTTCGGTCCAGGCCCAAATGCCAACGGAGAGCACCACAAGTGCGGTCAGCCAGATGATAACATTGCTGGTAAAGAGCAAATATTTGAGGCAGCAACTGATTTCACTTGTTTCGCGACGATATTTGCGCACTGCGGGCATTTTTCCGAGAGTTGATGGTGGCGGCGGCGGCAACAGCAACAGCTCGTCTGGGTGATGTTCCCTAAATGCTACGGAATGATTATGCTTCTATTATACACTATTACTAATGACTGGGTATTTTTGTTATTTTTTGTTTAATTTTACTAGAACGAAAAGCTGTGTTTACCAGCCACAGATTTTCGACTTAGCAATTGTGCGACACGAACATCAAATAAGAAAATCTGTAGGCTAGTACGAGAGGTATGATAGTTGTTAGCCTTTTCGAGAGTCTGGTATTAACATCACAAGCTTTAAAGTTGCCACTGTTTGGCGATGAGCGTTGCCAGACTGTTGTTTGGTAATGTAAAAATTCATACGGGCTTCTAGATTTTACAGCATTGTCTGTACTGAATACTTACTCCACCAACTAACGGCACTACTCCTCACTTAACAGACGTATCTCATGTGAACAACTCAAATCGTTTACAAAGTTCACATATTTGTCTTCGCTCTTAACAGCACAGACTCACTCCCCCATTTAAGTTACTCTTTACATTGACTTTGGTATTTTCTGTATGTGCTGTTGCAGCACTCCGGTATTTAATTGAATACAAGCGTTAGCCACACTGATTTTCATCGTCGTGTGCAGTTGAAAAGGCAGTAGAAAAGATCAGTACCAAGGAAAATAAATATAACAATTAAATACCAAATAGAATTGATTAAGTGTTGTGTGCGTGGATCTATGAGATATTTTGGGCAAGTGCACGCATACAAACAGCGTGCTCGGCCCCATTACCTATGACGACAGTGAGTTTAGTTTTTCTTTCACTTCTACCCTCTGTGTATGCGTGTGCGTGTGTGAGTTTCGCTGATGGCTGAAGCAGAAAATGTTTAATTAGCAGACGAAATATGGACAAAACACATACATATATAATACGCCATGCCCAAAACGTTGCAACAAATCAAGCGAAACTTAATTTTAATCTATAGTGTGCTCTGAAAAAGACAGTTGGAATCAACCCCCCGCGTTTTAATCAAAGAAAAAAACTTGTATGTGTGCGGTTGCTGCTGCTGCTACTTCGCCACTGTTAGCAGGGCAGTCAAAAAGTAAAGAAAAAATTATTAAAAAGTGAAAATATAGTTATTATGAAAAACGCATGATACAATATTCTTCGTGAACTTTCTGTGAATTTTTTATAAGCTCTCACACATTGACAAAAAAAGAAGCAGCCACAGCAGCAGCAGTACCAACGATGTAAAGTGCGTTCTCAGCCTTTGGTCGCCATCATAGCAGAGACGTTGCCGTCGACGTCGCTGCTTGCCTCCTGTGCGTGTGTGTGTCTAGCGCAGTTAATCCCTACAAATATTGTGATCCCACGCTTGAATATCAATTTCAATTACAGGTCACTCAAATAATTATGCAAAGTGTAATATTTCATTTAAAAAAAAAAGTACAGTGTTGCATTTATACACACATACACACATCGATGTATGCTCAAGCATACATATATTATACATACATACAAATAAAAACATTTCAATGTGCAATATGGTGGACAGTGCGTAAAATCACAACGTCGACGGCGACGTCAACGTCTACGTTTGTTAACTGCTTACTATTTTTGTAGTAGACATGGCTGATGTTACTGCTATTTCTGCTGTTGTTACTGGGCTTGGTTGGCAACGGAAAACAGTTTTTTAGCGCAGATGCAGCTAAACCAAAGTACATTAAATCAATTGCATTTGACAAAGTAAAACGACTTTCAGTGCTAATTTCGCTAAGTATATGAGATATACCAACATACGTATATACATACATATTTATGTATGTATAGAGAAATGCTATTGTGTGTTTCTATACGTATATTGTATACCTGTGCGCACTTGTGACTGTGTGCGTGTGTGTGTGTGTAAGTGTAAGTAAGTTTGCGTATATGTGTCTGTGTTCGACTGAAAATGGAAATTATATAAACCCCTTTTTTGAGTGCGTGAGGCGCTTGAGATTAAAACAGCATGCGGCTCTTGGGCTTTAATTATTTCCACCAAAACTCACACACATACATACACGCATACACTAACCTAACGATCAATATGGCAACATAGGTTGACGAAAAACGTTGCCAACTTTGTCAAGACTTTGTGAAATTCTCATCGTTGGCAAGCAAGCCCGCAGCGTTAACATTTTACCAATCAATAATTTGCAAACGTCAATTAAAGCTAAAACTTTGTGGCTAAAGACAAATACAAAAGAAAATATTTAAAAACAAACGCTCAAAGCATACGCACTCACGCCGCTGCCCGTGTCATCATCAATTCTTACATATGTACGTATGTATGTACATGGAAAAACGGTACTCTCATTGCTCTCACACGGAGAGATAGAGTCTGGCTGCCCATCTGTGTGTCTGTCTGCTGTGATCAAAGAACACACTCATACTCAAAATTTGTTCGTTCACTCAGTTACTCCCTTGGGTTCTGCATTGACGTTGTCGTTCCTTTAGTATTGGGTTGGTGGTGGCGGCGTCGCCCCACTTTTTGTGTGTCGTGTGTGTGTGAGTGTAAATTGTAACAACAACCACCAAAGGCAAAGCTTTTTGCTCAGCGAATACTGCCGCGGCTTCCTTTTGTCTATTTGGACGCTGCTGCAAAAAAGAAAAAAGCCTCAACCGGAACTTTAACATCGCTGCCGGCGTCGATGCCGATACCGACGTTTTTCAATATGGCTTCTTTAAGCATTTCAATTTCATCGCACAATAAATATAAACATTTTGTTTGCATGTGGCTGAGTAGTTTTGCCTGGAAATACGCAATTAATGCTGGAAAGTAAGAGCTTTTCCAGCTGCAGTACCAGCTAAACTAACGGTTCGTGTGCGAGCGCTCCGCAGAACAAATGGTTTTAGAATTTTACACACAAATGTATATATGTATGTATGTATTAAACAGCCATATATACATACATATTGAATGTGTAAGTTTTGTTGCTATCGGTCGTTATGTTATACATACACACAAAAGTAATGATGTGTGTGTATATACATACATATAAATATGCATAAATAATGTAAATATACATATTTAAATGTACATAAGTAAATTTTGTGCGCTCCATTTTTCTATGCAACAAATTCATTTTTTCCTGTTGCTCGATTTTAGTATGCGCCACACATACACACAATTTATGTGTTATGGAAAGTAAAAAAGAAAAAAGCACTCCTGTTGGCATTGCTGTATATTGTGCTTGTATGTTTGTGTTAGTGAACAAAACAGAATTGCAAAATAAAAACATAACATGCCAAATGTTGTTTGTGCGTTACTAACACTGCAACACTGCGCTGCATCCGTGTTAACTCCCACTCGCACATTCGTTTCGCTCACTGCTTATTACTCTCTTTAGCTCTCTCCGTGTCACTCTCTCTCTCTCTCCCGACAGACCGTCATAAGCTCAAAACCACCCCCACCCCTTGCACCCATAGTTGGCGATAGGCGTTCTTTGATCACGTAGACGAGTTTAGTTTGTTTGTCATTTATGTGGGGATGTGTGTGCCATTTATTTGCGCTTCGCCTTCCACCCGGTCAAACAGTGGGAAACAGTGCACAGGTGTGTGAGTGTGTGTGTTCCTACATAATTCAAAACAGTTTTCTATAATATGAAATTTTCTTCACTTATCGTTTAGCCAATGTTATCTTGATGAAACTTTTGCACAAACAAAATTTATTGCTTCGTAAATGAATTTATTTAGATTTTAAATATTTTCTAATTTGATCAGCACTTAAAACACTAAATAAAGTCATTTCATATTAGTAATATACCCAAAAAATAACAAATAAAATAAATAAAAAAATAATATTAAATTAAAAAATAAATTAAAAATAAATATACCATTTTTTGTTGATTGGAAAAAAAAGAAAAGAAAATTGTTATTGTTTTACAACTTTTATAAAATTAACAAAAACAAATTAGCTACTTTGCATTTCTAACCTAATACTTTATATGCAATTCTTTAATTTTTATCTCTTGATTATGGTCAGTGAGGCACTTGAAGGGATTACAATATAATTACATACATGCATATTGAATTATTGCAATTTTTATTTATTTTTTTATCAACTTGAAAAGTGTTGGCTGATAATGTAATCAAGCATCAGAACGAACTGAGCCAAATACAAATGTGATTGCAGGTAGTGCAATTTCTTGTACGTGTGCGTTTGTTTTCTGTATCTATATGTAGCTGTATATCAATGAGTGAGTGAGTGAGTGTAGGTACGTTTGAAGAATAGTCTCCGATTTTAATGCCACACAACCCCCTCGTTTAAACGGCGAGAGACGCTCTCACATACACTAATTTTATAAATGCCGTTTACTGTTTTTGTTTACCTGCCTGCTAGTTCGAGAGGGGTTGTGCGTGATTCGGTGTATATACTTGTGTGTGTGTGTGTGTAAATTTCTCTCTCTCTTTCTTACACACACATATATATTCACTATATTACAATTACAACTGTTCACTTGCGTTCGTTCATGCGTTTAAACATATGAAAAAAGGTTGACTGGCTGTTCTTGGCTCAGTGTTGAACAGTGTTGCACAAACACACAAACACACACTCACAAACACATATATACACATAGGCACACACTTGTAACTGTGAACTGTGTTCCTCTGCTGGTCACACTTGGCAGTCAGGCCGCAAACTAGAAAATGGCCATGTTTATTGAGATTGTGGATTGTTCAACCCCAAACATAGAAAAATGGAAACATTATAAATAAATATGCTAGTAACGAAACGAAATGTAGACGGAAGTCAATGAAGTACGTTTACTAATAACTGGGATTTCGAGCGAACAGCAAGTACATAGAACTTAATAGACGCGTTTATTGAAAAAATAAATCCATATCGAGAAATAACAAATTTTTCATTATCAATTGTTAATTGTGGACTAAACGCTGTCTTTCCATACTCATTTGCAGAGCTGAACAAGGTCCAGCAGCCGTTGCAGCAGTTTATTTCGAGACCCCATAAAGTCCCACATGTCCGCCAAAGGTGAGGCGGACAGTCTAGCCGCCAGTGGCGGCGGCACTGGAGGCGCCAATAGCAACTCCAATGGCACCGTAACACCGGCGCGACGCCTGCGCACCCGCAACTCAACCGGAAGTGGCAGCGAGTCGGCCAAAAAGAATACAAACAACAGCAGCAGCCACAATAATAATAATAATATTAATAACAATAATAGCAGCAGCAACAACAACAACAATAACGAATCGGCTGGAACGGGAAATGAGAGTTCAGCCACATCAATGGGGGGCATATCGATGGCAACAGCATCAGCTGGCGGCGGTGGTGCAAGCTCTGCAGGCACTCCATTGTCAGGGCCGCCCAGCTCCGCGGAACGTCCCATGCCCAGCGTGCCCATGAATCATGCCAGCAGCAGCGTTTCGGCCAGCAAGAAGTACCACAACAGCTGTCCGCATCCAACGCCGACAGTGCACAAGAAATCGTTGCACACAAAGCCCCACAGCAGCAACAAATTCGATCAGGGCAAGAACGAGGAATTCAACTTTGATACACCGCCCGAGTGTCCAGTATTCCGGCCGACGGCGGAGGAGTTCAAGAATCCATTGGCATACATTAGCAAGATTCGGTCCATAGGAGAGAAATGTGGCATTGCCAAGATCCTGCCGCCGGACAAATGGTCGCCGCCATTCGCCGTCGATGTGGACAAGTTGCGTTTTGTGCCGCGCGTGCAACGGCTCAATGAGCTGGAGGCAAAGACGCGCGTCAAATTAAATTTCTTGGATCACATTGCCAAGTTCTGGGAGCTGCAAGGCTCCTCTCTGAAAATCCCAATGGTAGAGCGTAAGGCTCTCGATCTATATACGTTACATCGCATCGTACAGGAGGAGGGTGGCATGGAGCAGACCACCAAGGAGCGCAAATGGGCCAAGGTGGCCAATCGCATGCAGTATCCATCCAGTAAAAGTGTGGGCGCCACACTCAAAGCCCACTACGAGCGTATTTTGCATCCCTTTGAGGTGTACACGTCGGGCAAAGTGTTGGGACCGAATGCGGCCGCTTCTACGGTGGGCGCAACGCCCGTCAAGCTCGAGGATGCGGGCACCGATTACAAGGCCCACGAGATACCCACACGCCAGCAAATTGCGCCGCCCAATGAGAATAATACGCGTCGCTCCAAGCGCTTCGGCAACTCGAATGCCAGCTGCGGCCTAAACACTAAACCAGGCGCCGCCGCTTCCATTACCATTAAAACGGAAACCAAGGAGGATTTCAAACGCGATCTATTGAGCAGCTTTAATGCGGTCAATGCGGGCGCCGCAGCCGGCGCTAATCAATCGGCCGGCTGTGGAGCAGCCACACCAAACACACGCGCCACCCAAAAGAAGGCCACCACAGAGCTGCAGCAACCCCTGATCGATCCACTGATGAAGTACATCTGCCACATCTGCAATCGCGGCGATGTCGAGGAGTCAATGCTGCTGTGCGATGGCTGCGATGATAGCTATCACACCTTCTGTCTGCTACCACCATTGAGCAGCATACCAAAAGGTGAGTTCGAACTCCATTTTGTTTTTGAAAATACCCTAAACATATTGAAAAATGGGGTAACTTACTTCATCCATATCTCTCGTCTCTTCTTTTTGCCATGAAAATAAAGAAATATTTTGCAATTATTATTATAATTATAATTAGTAATATAAGTGCAGTCAATTTTAAATTAAATTGAAATTGTATATATTTTATTTGACAAGTGTTCTACTACATTTAATCTATCTACATATGTATAATAATATTTATTAATGCAGTATTCTTTTCTAAGTTTTTAATCAATTAACTCATGAATAATTTCATATCTTCCCTTATTCCATCCCACCAGGAGAATGGCTTTGTCCGCGTTGCGTTGTGGAGGAGGTGAGCAAGCCGCAGGAAGCATTTGGCTTCGAGCAGGCCGAGAGAGAGTACACCTTGCAGCAATTTGGACAGATGGCCGATCAATTCAAGCAGGAATACTTTCGGAAACCGGTGCACTTGGTGCCCACGGAGCTGGTGGAGCGCGAATTTTGGCGCATTGTATCGTCAATTGATGAGGATGTAACTGTGGAGTATGGAGCTGATTTGCATACAATGGATCACGGCTCGGGTTTTCCCACCAAGAGCTCACATTATTTGCTGCCCGGTGATCAGGAGTATGCCGAGTCTAGCTGGAATTTGAATAATCTGCCGTTGCTAGAGGATTCGATACTGGGCCACATTAATGCGGATATTAGCGGCATGAATGCGCCGTGGATGTATGTGGGCATGTGCTTTGCTGCCTTCTGCTGGCACAACGAGGATCACTGGAGCTATTCGATTAACTATTTGCATTGGGGCGAACCGAAGACCTGGTACGGCGTGCCCGGCTCCTGTGCCGAGCAGTTCGAGGAGACAATGAAGCGTGCTGCGCCCGAGCTATTCTCCTCGCAGCCCGATCTGCTGCATCAGCTGGTCACCATCATGAATCCGAACATATTAATGAACAATGGTGTGCCCGTCTTTCGCACCGATCAGCATGCCGGCGAGTTTGTAATCACCTTTCCGCGCGCCTATCATGCCGGCTTCAATCAGGGCTACAATTTCGCCGAGGCTGTCAATTTCGCTCCGGCGGATTGGCTGAAAATGGGACGCGAGTGCGTCAATCATTATTCAATGTTGCGCCGCTTCTGTGTCTTCTCGCACGACGAGCTCGTCTGCAAGATGGCCTTGGAGCCGGCCAAGCTGACCTTTGGCATTGCCACCGCCTGCTACATTGACATGGCCGAGATGGTGGACACCGAGAAGAAACTGCGCAAATCTCTGCTCGAATGGGGCGTTACACGCGCCGAGCGTCGCGCCTTCGAGCTGGTCAACGACGATGAACGCCATTGCCAGGAGTGCAATACGACTTGCTTCCTGTCGGCCGTCGCCTGCGAGTGCAACGACAAGCTGATCGTCTGCCTGCGCCACTACACCGTGCTCTGCGGCTGTGCACCAGAGAAGCATACGCTCATCTATCGCTATACGCTGGACGAGATGCCGCTAATGCTGCAAAAGTTGAAGGTGAAGGCGCATAGCTTTGAGCGTTGGCTCTCCCGTTGTCGCGACATTGTGGATGCCCACACGCCCACATCGGTCACACTGCAGGAGCTACAGGAGCTCTGCAAAGAAGCGGAGACCAAAAAGTTTCCTTCCTCCCTGCTCATTGATCGACTCAATGCGGCGGCCATCGAGGCAGAGAAGTGCGTGACAGTCATTCAGCAGTTGGGCATTAATAAGGTAAGTGTAATTGGTTTGAATAGATAATTGGTGATAGGTTTGAATAGATAAAGTGAACCTAAATATAATTAGTAAGATTAATTATTATTAATTCATAATGCGCATTGACTAAAATATGATATGCTCTATATGTATACTATTTATTTTTTTGGAACTGACACATTCAGTTGTGTCAATTGTATATAATGTATATTATTATAGGGGAAATAATTTCATATTCAGTCAATAGAGGTAGAGATGGGAACGATTAATGTTCGGATTAACAATTATATCAGACTATTGCTAGGTCAGAGTCGTGTCTGTCAATACAAATTTATTTATTCATACATAAATAAGTAATATATATTGTTGTATTTATTTCAATATATATTTATTTATTCAATAATCCGAAAACATTAATGATATGAACCGTAAAGATATGGCCAATTAAAAATTATTAAATTTGTCCAATTAAAGATCTGACAAAATAATTGCTAATACTTATTTATTGCATCAATTATTGATCGATTCTAAAATTAGTAATGCACATTGAAAATTTTTGTCGAAATTTCAACTATACAAAATAACAAAACTATACTATATTAATTACTGTTCATATTATGACATTTTTCGGTCTATTAAAAAAATAATATATGAGTATTATCACCTTATTATATCTGATACTGAACTATATAAATTTTTATAATTTTTTACTGTCCAGATATAGAATATATATCATATAAGTTCTAGTTAATGTCTATAAATCTTAAATCATCCAATTATGTATGTATTGAAGGTGCGCACCCGTTCCGATCACAATCAGGAGGCAGCCCAATACAAGCTGACCATGGAGGAGCTGGAGCTGTTTGTGCAGGAAATCGACAATTTGTGCTGCATCATCGATGAGGGCGCCTCGGTGCGTGAGCTTCTAGTGCTTGGCCGGCAGTTTGTGGAACGTGCCAATGTCCAGCTGCAGCAGACACTGGAGACGCTGGAGGAGAACGAGCTGGAGACGCTGATCAATGAGGGCAGCTCGTTGCGCATTGAGCTGCAGCAGTTGGATCATCTGCAGAAGCGCCTCAAGCAGTGCAAGTGGTACAAACGTTCGCAGGGTTTGCGTGAGACCAGCTCGAAGCTGACCTACAATGATGTGAAGACGCTGCTGCATACGGCAGCCGCTGATCTGGATCCAACCGATCCGTATGTGGATCGTGAGATGCGTAAATTGCAGCAAATTGGAGCGGCGATCGAGGCGTGGGAGTCACAGGCAGCTAAATATTTCCGACGACTTAATCAACAGCATGAGCTGGCCGAGATCGAGCAGTTTCTGAAGTCCGCCACGGACATCAATGGGCAGGTGCCGTCCCATGGCATACTAAAGGATGCGTTGCGCAAGGCACGCGAATGGCTGCGCTCGGTGGAGCAGCTGCAGCAGAACAATCACGTCACCTATTGTCATACGCTGGAGGCAATGATTGACCGGGGCCTGAGCATACCCATCCAGCTGGAGGAGCTCGGTCGTATGCAGGGCCATTTGAATAGTGCACACCAGTGGAAGGATAATACGGCACGGGCGTTCCTGAAGAAGGACACACACTATACACTGCTGGAGGTGCTGATGCCGCGAGCAGAGCCCATCAACATCGACTCGGATCTCAAGCCGCGTTTCCAAGATGATTTCCTCAAGGACAAGAATCCCGCCGAAATTGTGGCCAGCTTCAAGCATGCCGAGGAGAAGGAGTTGCGCGATATGCGCGACCTGAGGCGCCGCAATATGGCGAAGAATCCATTGCGCGATGACTTCTGTCTGTGCAAGCTGGAGTTCCGTGGCCTGATGCACAATTGTCAGCTGTGCCGCGACTGGTTCCACGAGGACTGTGTGCCACCGGTGCCCCATGCACTGGGGGCGCAGCAGAATGGCAATGGCGTTGCTGGTGGTGCAGTCAATGGTGGAACATCATCATCAGCCAGCCAGCCAGCGCAACCCAAGTGGCTATGTCCGAGCTGTGTGCGCTCGAAGCGTCCACGTTTGGAGACGATTTTGCCGTTGCTGGTGCAGCTGCAGCAGCTGCCGATTCGTCTGCCCGAGGATGAGGCGTTGCGTTGCCTGGCGGAGCGTGCAATGAATTGGCAGGATCGTGCCCGCAAGGCGCTCAGCAGTCCCGATGTGAGCGCCGCCCTGGATGCCATATTGGCCCAACAGCAGAAGCGACGCTCCGAGAGCAGCAATTGTGCCGCCGTGCTGGGCAACATAAGCAGTCCGAGAAAGCCGCGACGATCGCACAATCTGTCCAAGCAAGAGACCAACAACACCGGCCGCTCCGAGTCCGACAATGAGGATGGGGACGATGTGGACGACGACGATGATGATGATGAGTGCCGGCTACGCATTGTAGAGGACGGCTATAGCAACGATGAGGACGAGCAGCTGTCGCGATTGGCTCAAGGCAATACGCAAACCACCAGCACCACCAACAACAGCAGCAGCGGCGGCGGTGGTAGCACTGATCTCTTGAAGCTGCTGTCCGACAGCGAAATTGAAAATCTGCTCGAGCTTATGATGGAGGGCGATCTGCTGGAGGTGTCGCTGGATGAGACGCAAGAGCTGTGGCGCATACTGGAAACGTTACCGCCCACACCGCTGCAGGCGGAGGCGAAGGCACGGGTGGCGCAGTACTTGCAGCAACATCGTCAGCAGCAGCCAAGTCAGATGACGGGGTCAGCATTGACCAACGCATCCAGTGTAAATAGCGGCGCCGAGGACTCCAACGATAGCCTGCTTGTGCAAAATAGTCCAAGTCCCGGCGCTGGCAGCGGCACCGGCCCAGCGGTGCGCAATAAGAAACGGCGCTCCAATGATGCGAGCAGCGCCAATGTGGCGGTGCCGCGCAAGAAACAGAACACCCCCAAGCAAACGCCGGGCAAGAAGACGCCGGCGGCGGTGCGCAAGAGCGACAGCAAGGCGAGCAGCTCGCCGGGCGTCGATGCCGATGCGGAGAACAAGCAGGCGAATGGTGGCAATACGACGACGGCGACACCGACGACGACGCCAACGACACCGGGATCGGCGGGAGCGACCACACCCATACCGTCGGCTGGGCAAAAGAAACGGAAACGCACCACAACAACCACAAACAACAACAACAATAATAACAACAATAGCAGCAACAACAGCAATGCTGGAGGAGGCGGCGGCACGCCCACAACTGGCAGCAACAACAACAGCAATGCGACAACAGGTGGCGGCCAGAAGAAGCATGCGCAACGCACACAGCAAACGGCCCAGGAGGACGACGAGGAGGAGTGCCGCGCCGAGAATTGCCATAAGCCGACGGGGCGTGAAGTGGACTGGGTGCAATGCGACGGCGGCTGCAATGAATGGTTTCACATGTACTGTGTGGGCCTCAATCGCAGCCAGATAAAGGCCGACGATGATTACATATGCATACGCTGCTCCAAGACGGTCAGCGTGGGCGTGGCCGGCGGCAGCAGCAGCCTGACGGTGACCACAACGACGACCAGCAGCCTGACGCTGAGCACAGGGACGCCGGGCAAGCAGCGAGCAGCGCAGTCAGCGCGGTAGAGAGAGTGGAACCGAGGAGATGAGAGACGCGAAAAGAGCGAAAAGGAGGAGGAGAAAGCATGGAACGACGTAGATCGCAAGCAAAAAGAAAACAGCAATTTGACAACGGTTGGCAGCACCCTCGATTAAATGTGCTTGTGAATAATCGATAAACTGCTATCGCAGTGTTTATACACATGTTTATCAAACACACACATACACACATGCATAGGCGGAACGTAACACAGACACACGGATCATAAAGCACACACACCCACACATGCGTTAAACGGTATTTACTAAGTTTTAGTAAAAAAAAAAGTCACTTAAACGTTTTTTGTAGTACATATTTACTAATTATTGCTATTATAACGGTACGCAAAACTCAACAGACACAGACACACTATTGAGAAGCAAACTTTTAAATGAATTTATTCAATTCAACTGTAAAATGCAAAACATATAAACAAATTTTGTTTGTGTAGGTGCGGTACACATTTTTTACGTTCGTTTAACGTTCTCTTATATATTTACTAAATGTAAATATATATAACCATATATATATACATGCATATATATGTATATATATATATTTAATTTACCATTACCTGCTACTATTAGTTTTTGTTAATTTAATTTACAGTTTGTGTTCGCTTTAAGTTTTGTGCGACGCGCGCGCGTTTTTTACGTTATTTTTGATTTTATTTTATTTTAATTTCTTCATTCAAGAACAATTTAAAAGAAAACAAAAAGTAAAAAAAAAATTTACTACATTTTACTTCTGTACAGTTTTTCTGTTTACTTAAAGTGAAAAGCCAAGTAAAATTTAATTGTTATTTTATAAATACATAT